CTCAAAAAAAAAAAAAAAAAAAATATGTTTTTCCTAAATTATATCAACTTTGTTTAGTCAGATTAATTTACCTCTTAAATGAAATGTCTGCTAAAATGCTTGTAAAAATAATGTATACTTTGAAATAAAATTTCATTTGAAGTAGTATAATAATTAATTTTAGTCACCAAAAAGTTATATTACAATATTCCATTTAACATAAAATATGTAAATACAATGCAGAATAAAAAGGTTTCACTGAGAAAAAGTACTTTATAAATATAGTAAACCAAGTGGATGAGAGGGCATGACCTTCTCTAATAAATTGAACCAGTATTCTGCTTTTTACTAAAAGGAATTTAAGCCAGAAAATCAGTATATTAATGCAGCCTTTAAAAAGTTTTGCAAATAGATTACAACCAGTCATATATTCTGAGCTTCTTAAGCCTCTGTAACTCAGTAATAGAATATTTAATTAATAAAGGAAGACTTGCTAAACACAGGTATTAAGCCATAATATCAACTATAACAAATCTCAAGAGTAAGCCCTCAACATACAAAAAATCAAATGCTGATAAGCTGAAGTATTAAAGTCAAACCAGGCTGGGCGTGGTGGCTCATGCCTATAATCCTTTGGTAGGCCGAGGAGCATAGATCACCTGAGGTCAGGAGTTCAAGACCAGCCTGGCCAACATGGTGAAACCTTGTCTCTGCTACTCAGGAGGCTGAGGAAGGAGAATCGCTTGAACCTGGGAGACAGAGGTTGCGGTGAGCCAAGATAGCACCACTGTACTCCAGACTGGACGACAGTGTGAGACTCCCTCTCAAAAAAAAAAAGTCAAATCATTACTATAGGAATTTACTGATGATGTACCTGGATTCCTCACCAGTAAGTGATGTGATACTATATTAGCAGCTTCTTTGTAGAAGAGAAAAAAAACACCTTGGCATTTTTTTTTTAAGTCACTACTGTTTCAGGTAATAGCTATCTTGTTTAATCCTCAAATATCAACTCCATAAAGATTTCCCCACTTTACAGATAAGAAAATGAGACTCTAAGAGGCTTAGTAACTTGCACTAATCATAAATGAAGATATGAAAAAGTAGATACTCTCAGTATTTCTTGTTTAGTCTGTGGTAAATGAGAAATTTTTAAATCTCAATATTTTTATTCAAGTTGTTCTCCATGAAACCAAATTAAAGTTAAAAACCAAATTTCACATTTTAACTATTAACAAAAATTCAGAAAACTATATACCCACTTGTTCAATATAAAATTAACATGTAGTTTAAAAATAAAATCCTAATAGAAATGACTATTGTTTCACTCATAAGGATCCCCCATTACAACATTAAAAAAGCATAGTCCCAATTTCCATAACTTATACAGTATTGACATCCTAGAGCTAAGAAATATTTTCTCAATAAGGCTTAATCATTTTTAGATAGTTTCAATGTTAACCTCAAAATATTACCATTGTTTTAATATTTTTAATGTTTCACATAGCTTCTAAAACAACTTGCAAGTATCAGAGTTATTTTAATATAGATGCCATGAGTCTAACAGGAAATGAGAAGTCATATAAAAAATGAGCTCTGAAAAAGAGGTGCTTATGCTTTTCAGCAAGTTATATCTTTCTCTGTCCTTTGTTCAATTTTCTTATCTATAAGCTGGAAATAATCATTTTCTTTCCTTAAGTGTTTATAACTAAAAACTAATGCATGGCTGGGCACAGTGGCTCACACCAGTAATCCCAGTACTTTGGGAGGACAAGGTGGGCAGATCATGAGGTCAGGAGTTCAAGACCAGCCTGGCCAACATGGTGAAACCCCAAATCCACTAAAAATACAAAAATTAGCTGGAGGTGGTGGTGGCCATCTGTAATCTCAGCTACTCAGGAAGCTGAGGTAAGAGAATCATTTGAACCCAGGAGGTGGAGGTTGCAGTGAGCCAAGATCACACCATTGCACTCCAGCATGGGTGAAAGGGCTAGACTCCATCTCAAAAACAAACAAACAAACAAAAGAATGCATAATGGTTTACAAAACATTTCTCACAAATAATTTTTCATTAGTAAAATAACATAATAAATATGAAAAATTTAAGAAAATCAAACATACAAATGAAAGGCTACTATCCACTTTCTTCCAGAACAAAAAGGTCAAAAAAATTATGATCATACAAAGAAACAGTTCTAATACTTATAAGGTTAAAAATGCATGAATAAATAAAGGATTAGTTTTCAACACAAATACTTTTACTTCTATTCATTTTAAGAATTACTAACATTAAAAACAATTGACTATCAAGCTGCGTACAGGCAGTCTCCAACTTCCAAATAGGTTATACTCCAAAGAGTATGCTTAGAACATATTTTCCCAAGTTTAAACAAAAGTCACACATAATAGTTGTTTCTCAGATTACCATTAAAGTCTAGAAATATTAATCTACAATATATTTTAGGTAAAATACTAACACATTGCTTCAACCAAACCTACCCACCTTTATAAATTATTTCTCTGGAGAAAAATGAATTCCATGTTATAACAACTCCCCAGCCTCACAGAAGGGAGAATTTTATTTCTGGCAACTAAATAACTTATGAAAACAGAGAAAAGAACATCTGTGAAGCAATCACCTTTCCAGGTGATTGAAAACTATTAAAAGGTTAATAGTTGGAGGTTTTGAACCACCTCATTCTAAAACTAAAAAGAGAAATAATTATGCCTATAGACTTGTACTTTTCTACTGGTTGCTCATATAGACCATAAAACATTTGTCAAGTTGGAAACTGCCCGTATTACAAGCATAGATTTTTTAAAAATTGGATAGTGTTTAAAACAGTGGTAATTACTATCTCTTAATATAATTGAAGGTAGAAAACGTAATGCTTATGGTTCCCTGCCTTAATAATCAGAGGATTTAAATTGTTTTAAATTTCATATTTAAACATAGCAACATGTTTATAAAGCACAAATATTTTTTCAAGTATTAAAAGTGTATAAAATAATGCTTCCACTTAAAATTCCAAAACAGTTCCCCTACTGATTATCAACAGATCTACCTACCATTACTCTAACAACTTCATTCACAGATACAATAAAATAATGCCCACAGAAAGCACTTTAATCAGAATATTTTGCAAATGGTTCATGAACATGAAAAATAATTCTTATTGCAAAGACCAATAAATTTAGAATTGATGTTTTTCTGTCTCCTAAAAAAAAAAGGTTCTTGAGAGTTAAAATTCCTGACACCAATTGCAACATGGACCTAAAGTCTACACTTCAAGGTCAGCTAAGTTAACAGAACTAATAATCTCCTGGTAAAAAGGTAAGAATCCCAAGCTGTCAGCAGTGCTTCACAGCATGCCAGGAAACTTCAGAGAACCTCAGTTAAATACTTATACCTTCAGATGACTTAACAGTCCGGATGATATCTAGAACAAATCACCCAACCCCCAAAATAAAACAAAATAAAAGTAAATACATCCACACATAACAAACTTTCAAAGTAGATGGCAGAAATTTTATGGATCCACGTCTGGAAAAAGCCAATGTCTTATAGTAGTATTTACAGTTTCATACTAGTTTCCACTTAAATAGTAGTAGTTTAAAATATTATTTGATTCTTTGGGATCCATTACACACATGTCCATTAAATCTTTAAGTAATCAAACTAATAGAAACACATTAATAAAGATAAATAATAAATATATGCAAATACAGAAACATCAAAGTAAAAATTCTCATTCAACAAAATCAAGGCTTTAATCTCCAAAGTTGCCTTTAGTTCTTTACTGTTTTGAGGAAAATGAAAATAGCCAAAAGCCTATGTATTAATACGTCTGAAGAGAGGAGAGGAGCAGACAATGCAGATATGTAACGTGAGGAACACAGGTTTGTCTGAAGCCCTCTCAATTTTATGATGTCACCTAAATCACCTTGTGGAAAAGAACTAGAGACCATGCTGAGAAAGCCTGCAAGTCATGCAGATGAATTGGGGATCAAGATAAGCAATGACAGGATGAAAGATGTACTCTACTCAAACTGAATGCAATCTCCAGAGACTGTAAACTGGAAACACTAGTGTCTAAATTTCCTTGGAACAGATTTAAAGAAAGTACACTCTTAGCCCGATGTATTATAGAACCTAATGTGTACCAAGTTCTTCAAACAAATGATGTTTATAAATCTCCTTTTTTCCATTACACAGGAAGCAGTGGCCTTCAAAGATACAACTTTTTTTTTTAAAGCAGAATCACCGTATAGCATAGCAAATCACCATTAAAGGTTTGGCAGAAACTTTTACTTTTTAAAAAGATCTTTGTCTAGCATGACACCATCTGATGTTGTTTGAAGAGTTAATCTTAACATATCCATACACTCTTTCAACCTGGGATCAGACGTTCGCAATCCTGTAGATTTGAGTGCCTGTTTTTAAAAAAATAAGAGTTTGTAAATATATGGTGCAAATAATGCATATGCTTATTCCAACTACAAGATTTTATTCCTGTATATAAAAACTTCTACCCAACACCTGAACATGAATATGGCATCTTAGTGTCACTATTACCCACTTTCTGGACAAGTTTCTCATTGTTTCTTTCTTTTTCTTTCATTGATTACCTTGAAATGAGCATGATAAAAATTTGAAAACATAATAAGAGAAATAATGTCAGTCAGAATCTACATGTCAGACGACCTTTAAGACTGTATTTCAATACTACTGTATTTTTTATTAAGTATTACTATATTTTTAAGATATAAAAATATAAAAACTTACTGTAATAAATTTATGAACAGGTATTTTCTCTTGTCCTTCCGCAATTGTATAGAACAGCAAATCTTCCAAGCTAGGTAACAGACCCTGTTTTATTTTACTAAAGAGGTAGAAAGAATACAAAATTAATCCTTGTATGAACATTCTAATGGATTTTAGCTAAGTCCATTATTAAATAACCACTGAACCAGACTATAGCTGAGCTTATATACTCAAGACTAGTCATAATAAATGCTGATTTGCCAAAATCAAATCAGTAACACTACAAACCACACTGAAAAACAAGTTAAAAAAAAAAAAAATCACTAACACACAGGTATTTTTTAATCCCAGGTTTTGAAACCCTGATCATCAACTCTAGCTGTGCTAATGCCTAACTATCCGTTATGGTGATGCCTTCCTATATAGTCCAGTACAATCACCCAATACAAATCACAGAGCTCAACACATGTTCCAATAAGACTCAATATTCTGACCAGGCACGGTGGCTCACACCTGTAATCCCAGCACTTTGTGAGGCTGAGGCAGGCGGATCACAAGGTCAGGAGATCGAGACCATACTAGCCAACATGGTGAAACCCCGTCTCTATTAAAAATACAAAAAAATTAGCTGGGCGTGGTGGCACGTGCCTGTAATCCCAGCTACTGGGGAGGCTGAGGCAGGAGAATCACTTGAACCAGGGAGTCGGAGGCTGCAGAATGTGCAGCCGAGAATGTGCCACTGCACTCCAGCCTAGATGACAGACCAAGACTCTGTCTCAAATTTCAAAAAAAAAAGCACTAAGACTCAATATTCTGTTCAGTTGTTTTGGGAGTTTTCTAAATATGATGACTATATTTACCTTTTATTCAAATAGTTAACCTGATTATGAAATCTGGGAGAGACAGCAATTAACTACTGGATAGTAGTTAAGAGCAAGTGTACAAGTTCTTGAATCCTGGCTGTAATACTATAGTTGTGTAACCTTGGGTAAATTAATTAACCTTTCTGTGATCCAGTTTCCTCATTTGAGAAAGGGGATAATAGTGTCTCCCTCATAGGGTTGTTGTGAGGATCAGTTGACTCAATACATTCAATATCTTTAGAATACGGCTGGCAGAGAGTAAGACTCAACTGACAGTAGTTGTAGTTATTATTTCTAAAGTGATCTAGGTTTTACCTAACGTAGTCAGTCCTTTGCAGCCACAGATTCAAACAAACAGATAAAAAATTTCAGGAAAAAAATAAAAAACATACAATAAAAGGACAGTAATAAGAACTATTTACAGGGCTGGGTGCGGTGGCTCAAGCCTGTAATCCCAGCACTTTGGGAGGCCGAGGCGGGTGGATCACGAGGTCAAGAGATCGAGACCATCCTGGTCAACATGGTGAAACCCCGTCTCTACTAAAAATACAAAAAATTAGCTGGGCATGGTGGTGCGTGCCTGTAAACCCAGCTACTTAGGAGGCTGAGGCAGGAGAATTGCCTGAACCCAGGAGGCGGAGGTTGCGGTGAGCCGAGATCGCGCCATTGCACTCCAGCCTGGGTAACATGAGTGAAACTCCGTCTCAAAAAAAAAAAAGAACTATTTACATAGCATTTATATTATATTAGGTATTGTAAGTAATCTAGAGATGATTTAAAACATGAGAGGATGTAAGTAGGCTACAGACAAATGCTAAGCCATTTTACATAAAAGACTTGAGCTGTGGGGGTCCTAGAACCAATCTCTTAACACACACAGAGGGAAAAGGCAAGATGTATACATCTAACTCTACAAATCATAGCTCCATCACCCAGGCTGGAGGTACACTGGCGCGATCTCGGCTCACTGCAACCTCTGCTTCCTGGGTTCAAGCGATTCTCCTGCCTCAGCCTCCCAAGGAGCTGGGACTACAGGCACGTGCCTCCACACCCAGCTAATTTTTATATTTTTAGTAGGAACAGGGTTTTACCATGTTAGCCAGGATGGTCTCCATCTTCTGACCTAGTGATTTGCCCACCTCGGCCTCCCAAAGTGCTGGGATTACGGGTGTGAGCCACTGTGCTTGACGATTAACCAATTAACCAAACTTTTAAACAATGAATGTCACACAAATGTTTTTTTAAAAACTAACACACAGCTTTATCATTAAAATATTTAATGACATATACTGGATATATAATTATTCCCTGCAACTATTTTTACTCTGACATAATTTTTAAAAATGCATTTGGAGCTGGCGTGGTGGCTCACACTTGTAATCCCAGCACTTCGGGAGGCTGAGGCAAGCAGATCACTTGAGGTCAGGAGCACGAGACCAGCCCGTCCAGCACAGTGAAACCCTGTCTCTACTAAAAATACAAAAATTAGGCAGGTGTTGTGGTGGGTGCCTGAATCCCAGCTACTCAGGAGGCTGAGGTAGGAGAATGGCTTGAACACTGCAGGCGGAGGTTGCAGTGAACCGAGATCACGCCACTGAACTCCAGCCTGGGTGACAGAGCAAGACTCTGTCTCCCCGAAAAAAAAAAAAATTGCATTTGAGATGTTTTAGTAACAATAGCTAAAATATATTGATCACTTACTTATGTTCTACACACTGTGCTAAGTGTTTCAACATGCATTCTAACTTAATCCTCCAAGGATCTTATGACAGAGGTACTATTGTTATCCAAAATATATTACGATTTCTGGTACATAGTAGAAGATCAACAATTTTTTTTTTTTTTTTTTTTTTTTTTTATGGAGTTTCGCTCTTGTTACCCAGGCTGGAGTGCAATGGCACGATCTCGGCTCACCGCAACCTCCGCCTCCCGGGTTCAGGCAATTCTCCTGCCTCNCGCCACCATGCCCAGCTAATTTTTTGTAGTTTTAGTAGAGACGGGGTTTCACCATGTTGACCGGGATGGTCTCGATCTCTTGACCTCGTGATCCACCCGCCTCGGCCTCCCACAGTGCTGGGATTACAGGCTTGAGCCACCGTGCCCGGCCAACCAAATTTTTTATTTGTTGAAAAAAATGAGTACCTCTATCCCCTTTCACAGATTAGGAAACAGAGGCTTAGCAGTTAAGAAGCTTTCCAAGGTTGCACAGTGGCAAAGATAAATTTAGATCTCTGTTTTTCTGAATCCAAACTACTACTATATTATACTGGCTCTCTAACTTGCTAGCTTATTACCTTTATAAGGTACAAACAAGTTTTCTAGGTCTTATCCTGATCTAATACCATTAAACACAGTTTAACAATACTCACCACCTAATATTTAAAGAAAAACTGAATCAGCTGTCAAAAAATCAGTGGATAATAACATACCAATTATTTACAGCAAATGGTTGGTCCAGATAATGGTAGTTTGTCACTTTAGAAAACTGCAGAATAAGCTTTCTATGTATTTATCACACCAGTAAATGGTATTTGCTTTGCCTAAAAACTATGTAAATAATGTAAAATATACACTTTTTTAGCTTATGGCACATAGTGCAAAAAAATTAAAATGGCCACGTTATTGCCACAGCTAGCAAAAAAAGTAAATGTTTACTTGCTTTTAAACAAGAAACTAATTTTTATCTACAGGAGAAATAATTTAAGCCAGCCCTAATGAATAAACTCACAAAATAAGCTGTCAAAACTGATAAAAACAAATTACTACCTATCTCAGCATTTGAAAGCTCAGACTTTGATCTGAGAATGAATTAGCTTCAACAGTCTGGTGAACAAACATACTCAAATATTCTCCTCAAACTTTCTACAAGGCAGAAACTACTCTAAAGATCTTTCATGCCTTAACCCCCTTTTCCCCTCCCTAAATTAATTCTTTCTGGTAATTTGTCACAATAATGTATTTTTCTATTAAAATTCAAAAGCTAAAAACTATAGCTTTCAGTAACTATATAGTAACTAGGAAATCCTTGAGAAAAGTACTTAAGTTTTAACGACAAATAGGATTATAGTAGGCTCTCAAATCTTATCATCAACAATTTTAATAACCCAAGTGAGTCCTCCAGAGTCCCTGGAGAGAAAAACATAAAATGGCTATGATATTCAGCAATTCAAACAGGATATAACAGAAGATAATCTGAATTAAGAAATTCCTTATTTCTCACCTTTTTATTTTTTTATTTTTATTTTTTTAATACTCCGCTCCTCTCCCCTCTCACCTTTTTATTTCTCCAACTTACACTCTCTCTCATTTCCTTTCTAAATTCTGCCTTTAAGATCATTTTACTATCATATTGTTCCTTCTTCTACCCATTCCTTCCCCTACTTTAGCCTCACAAAATAACAGTTTTAAAAACAATTTTGTATTGAAAAAGAAGAAAAATCCTATGTATTTAACTATGCCATATTCAACATCAGGTTAGACATCATTTACAGTCTAGAAGACATAGAAGACATGTATATAAAATGAGTTATTACGAGAATAGATCTATGACATCCAGACTTTGGAAAACTATTTCACTGTGGTCTAATAAGGTCAAGCTTTTTTTTTTTTTTTTTTTTTTTTTTTTTGTGGGTTTTTTTTTTTTTTTTTTTTTTTTTTTTTGAGACGGAGTTTCACTCATGTTACCCAGGCTGGAGTGCAATGGCGC